TATATATATATATATATATATATATATACCTGTGTGTGCGTAACAGCTTAAATAATACCTAATAGTTAGAATTGTAAACTTTATTCAAAAATTTAATTCAAACGACGTAGCAAAATGTCATCATGAAACCGAAATATCATTCCGATGTATTTAATAAGCCGAATATCAATCAAAATAATTAGCATTTTGGGATTTTAATGCATCTTCATCCAGTCCTATGATAACTTCTTACAGAGTCAATCCTAACAAATGATCGTTCGTTCGTTGAAGTGGAACTTTGCGTCTGCGGCCCTTTTCTCATCCATCCTAAAATTAGACTAAGAAACATACATAACAGAAATAAAGTTTGGGGAGCAGAATGGAGTTCGATCCTAATAAATAAATCTGGATATTATGAATTACATAACTTTTGAATTAATTAGAAGTAGTGGTGAGCAAATATCCTATAAATCGAATTTATTAAATCTGGAATGATACATTAAAAGATTACCACTCGAAAATATTTATCAGCTGTCTGTACCAAGTTGGCATCTCTGATTTGGTAATCGAATTGCTAACACTATAGGAAATTATCCGCTGACAGAATAAAATGTATTACGATATGTATAATCTAAGGATGCCGACTGCTCCACTCTGTACAAAAGTTTGATAACATGTTTATAAATTGAATAGTAAAACTTATAGAATTGGAATAATTACGCCTATTTTTTAATGGAGTAAAAGCGACATCAATACATTAAGGTAATTTAATTATCGTACTTTTCCTCTACAAATGTACGTAATGACATACAATTGACATAAATAAGTCTAGAGTTTTAGTAATCTTATTCCACTTTCTACAAAATTATTAATAAGCTTGTAGAATATGTATAATATCCATGTCCATTTTCATAAACGCGAATTTTGAGCTGAGACCATCTTCATAAACAATCATTTCAAGATGTGTCCAGTTTAGAAAAACTCACCAATGATGCTTAACCCCTTGGGGATGGGTGATTCATAAAAGTATTTGTACAAAATCAGAATCAGGATGTAAATAAATAAAAAAGGATAGCTTAAATGCAGGAGTTGCTAATTTGACGGACTTACTTTGCTTCTACTTTATTGTTAGTTTAATCATATATATAATCAGTGTTAGTTCAAAGTATAACTAAATAATTTTATTCTGAACTAAAGTAATGGTGAATTAAATAAATCAAGCAATTACAACCCCGGTCACGAATAAACTGCTGAAGAACTACTTTGGTTACCAGTTTTATCTTTTTTCCCTGCTTGATGCGGTTTTTTTGCAGGCAAGTATTTGTGACAGTCGGCGCGAAAGAGTTAAGAGAATAGTCACAAAATACTAAAAAAATAAAAATTGCATTTTATATAATTCTTCTAATTTTTTGATTTATAGTGGTAGAAAAATTACTTGAAATGAAAAATATTCAACTTAAAAAATTCTATTACCTTAACATGTTCACGTCGGGTGTTACGCCTGAAAGCTGGACGGAAGAGAGAAAATGCTGGTAGAAGAACTATTTCAATATTAGATAATATTCGGGAGGAGTTAATCTATTCTCAACAATAACAATTCACTGTAAGGAAATTTATCACGGCGAAGAAGCAATTCAGTAAAAAAATTGCATCCGTTAAAAGCAATTGGTAGTTATGGATTTTTATTATTCCCGGAAAAAAACTAAAAAATGAAATTTATTTGTTACCAGTTTTTACTAGGAATGCCAACTGCTCCGATTTCTGGAATAGTTAAAATGAAGTGGTAGCACATTATGTAGTAAAATTCGGTAAAGAAAGATAGTTACTCCTACTTTTTAATAGAGTAACCAGCAGATTGATGCTTCAACGATGCGTTTTATATGATACTTATAATTTTTGATATTTAGTGGTGGAAAAATTACTTAAAATGAAAAATACTAAGCTATAAGTAACTTAAATTTCACTACCACTAGAAAATACAATTTTACAAAGCGGAGCAAGTTGGCATCTCTTTTTTTTTCACTCAAGTGCGCCGCCCGATGAGACAATCTAGCGTGACCCACCGGTGGGTCACCCCGGCGTGAACGTGTTAAGAAGATACTATTTTACAAAGCGGAGAAAGTTGGCATGTCTGTACATCTTGTTAACAATATTTTGAATCAATGTAAGAAATGAACAAGCAAAAGGACTTATTTAGAAATGTTTTATTCGCATAAAGTCGAAACAACTTTATAATATTTTTGTAATAGTTTTTACTATATAGTTTTTTTTTCTAATTTTCTTATTAAGATCCTCCGTTTCTATTTCGTTGACTCCCACTTTGAGATTGTTGATTTCGTTGTTGGTTATTTATATTTCCTGACCCGTAGTTTGTGTTGGTAGCTTGTTGACCACCACTCTGTGGTTGGCTGCCTCCTTGATTAGCTAAAAATTTGAAGAGGAGAAAAAAAAAACATTTATAATTAAATTCTTGTTTTAAACAACCTAAATAAAATTTTCTGAAGTACTCATAATTATTACACTCCATGACAACATTATTTTAAAACATCGTTCGCGAACACCTGAAAATACTTAAGAACTGGTTTCAAATTTGTAACGAAACAGCAGATAACTTCTTAACCATATCATTCATTCCAGAATTAAATATTAGAACTTAAAATCTTTGTATCTAGTTAAATTTACTAAGGGTTATTCGTAAAATGGCTAATGCTCTCAAAAAGCTAATTGCAAACTTTCTAAAAGAACATTCGAAATATCTTTTCTGTCCGAGAATCCGCAAAAAATCTCTGTTCTAAGAAAATTAAATTTAAAGATAAATCAGTCAGATTTCAAATTTTTGTATAGAAACTTTGCTGCCAGTTTAAGACTGCTGGTCAGTTTAGTAAATCTAGATGTTACATAAATAACAAAATACAATCTTTCAGCTTAATATTGCTGCAACTTTTCTTATTTTTTCAGGTGTGTATGAACCTTTTTAAATCATTATTTTAAACAATAAGTTTAATATAATAGTGCACAATTTGAAAAACGCTAAACATTTATTTATTTACTTTTTATTTATTCAGTTATCTTTTATTTTGTATCTTAGTATTATAAAATAATTTTCAATGATTACCCCTCATTAAATATACAGTTTAAAACTAATTAAACACAAGACAAATTTTCTTATACACAATCAACCAAAGTAGAAGAAATGAAGATTTTTACCTTGATTTCTATTGCCTCCATATCCACCAGCTAAAAATGAAGGATTAATTAAAATATCAAAGTGTACAGACATAAAAGTATCACTTCTTAAGTTTTAGTTCAATAGCACAAGGAAACGAACATTTTTTTGCTTTTATACTAGTTATGGATCTTGCCTAAGTCGGGTAGCGAAATTTTAAAGCTGTAATTGGTTGCTCTTAAAGCTACAGATTCCTTTAATGAAATTTTCCGTCCATTTTTTATTAAAATGTGCAAATTTTAACTTGTTATAGATAACAATGTTTGCATAAATGTTACAAAAAACTTAGGGCACATTATCCGGAATGAAATTGTCTTGGAACCAAAGCGTTGAAATATCGTCGTACGCGTCTGGGGGCGCGCCTCTCTTATGAATTGTTTCTTTGTAAACTTCTGAATAGTTTACAGTACAGTATTAAATTTACTATTTAAAACTATTTAAACACAAGTACAGTATTCTTATACGCAATTATTTAAAGTAGAAGAAATTAAGATTTTTACCTTGGTTTCTATATCCTCCATATCCAGCTAAAATTAAATAATGAATTAAAATATCAAAGTATATAGACATAAAAGTATCAATTCTTAATTTTTGATTTAATAGCACTAGGAAACAAACTTTTTGTTGCATTCATATAAATATTTGATCTCGCCTAATTCGGATAGCGATAGATTTTAAATCTGTTATTAGTTTTGCTCGGAAAGCAACAGAATTTTTTTAAATACAATTTTTATTCTATTTTTGTTAAAATGTGCAAGTTTTAAAATGCTATAGACAACAATAATTGCATAAATGCTACGTCAAACTTAGGAGAGTTAGGGCACATCATCAGGACAAAAATTGCATCGCACTTGCTTAGAAATGTCATTGTGCGCGTCTGGAGCGTCTCTCTTATAAATAGTTTGTGTGCTTCTGAGCAGGTTACAGTAGAGTATTAAATTTACTATTTAAAATTTTAAAACTATTTAAACACAGGTACAATACTTTTATACACAATGAACTAATGTAAAAGAAATTAAGATTTTTTACCTTGGTTTCTGTTGCCTCCATATCCTCCAGCTAAAAATAAATAACTTATTTATGTATAAAAGCATACAAACCAGAAAGCCTCACTTCATAATTTATGGTTTAATAACAGATGAGAATGAATTTTTTGTTTGCATTTACACAAATAATCAATCTTACCTAATTCGGTCATGAGAATATAAAACCTGAAATTAGTTTTGCTCCTAAAGAGTTTTTAAGCGATATTTTCAGTCTATTTTTTGTCTAAATGTACAAGTTTAAAAACGTTATATATGAGAGGGGATTGGGTAAATGTTGAAACAAACTTCTAAGGGGGTTAGGGCACATCATTAAGATTAAAAATGTCATAGAAAACCACATCCGGAAATGTCACCGTATGCGGCTAGCGGTGCTTCCCTCATTATTAACTGTTCTGATGCACACGAAAAAACAAATTTTCAAAGGGAAGCAACTTTAGCGTATGATGACATTTATAGGCATGGATACAATATTACATGGTTACAATATTACATGGGTACATACAATTTTATTCCTGATAATAAGCTCTAACTCCCCTAGAAGGTTTTCGCATAATTTATACGACCTTCTGTTATATATAACTTTTTTAAAATTTATGCATTTCGACAGAAAATTGACTGGAAAAGTCATTAAAAAACATTGTAGCTTGGAAAGAGAAACCTAGTGCGGATTTGAAATCAGTGACGTTAAAATTACCAAGATCTGTTTTAAAGAAATCAAAAATCTCATGCAACGGGAAAAAAATTTCCTCAGGGATCAAAATAATACTTTTTCAAGTTAATAGAAAACCTTAAAATAATTTTTAACACCTATTAAAAGAACTAGCAGAAGTGTGTTTTTAAAATCAAATCACATGCCAACTAACTTACCTTGGTTTCCATAGCCTCTACCACCATCTGAAAAGAAATAATTTTTTTTTAAATTGTACAATAAGGAAAAAAATAAGTGATGATTTTAATCACCGGGAATAATTGCAAGAGTTGTGCCCGGCTATGTTATTTTATATGTTATCAATGTTATACGGTATGTGCGCATGCACTGTTTTTAATCGTATGCAATGTGTTATTTTGCACGGTATAATGATATTTTATACCTTTAATTACAAATTTGGTTTAAAAATGAAAAGTTGTGAGATTATATATTAAGGTATGGATAGTATTAAAATATTTTTGACAGTACAATTATTGTACTTTTCCTATATCAATCTAAAAGGGGATAATAGATGACATAAATAAATATAATTGCATCATAATTTTCGTAACTTTTTTACATTGGTCAAAATCAGGGAGGCCAACAACTTCACTTTCTGCAAAACTATTAATAAATTGATAGTGAAGTAAATAGTAAAACTTGTAGTATATGTATAATTACGCCAAATCTTTAAAAGAGTAGCCACGAAATATTATAATTGCAATAAAATTGCCTTTCATGTGATACTTTGATATGTAGTGGGGGAAACATCACTTAAAAGGAAAAATTATGAACTAAAAATAACTTAAAATTGCGTTACCACTAGAAAATACTATTTTACAAAGCGAAGTAAATTGACATCTCTAGTGAAAAAAAAATTCTAAGGTTTTGTAACCGAAATGGAAATTATTCGATAACTGAAAAAGTTACTTACTTTGATATCTGCCCCCTCTGTTAGATCCACCTGAAGAAAAAGAAAGACATGAGTTGAAGATATAAATTATCCATCCCATGATAAAAGGGTAATGGGCCACTCCGGCCTCAGGTACCCCGACCAATCCACTGTGGGCCAGAAGACCATGATCTTTGACCAAAAGTCAAAAATTAAATTATGTGTAGGCAGTCTTAATGCATCCCAAATTAAGTATTCATAATCATTCCAAATATTATTATTTACTTTTTGGACCGACGAAAGTACAATGCAATAAAAAATATGTTATAAAATGTTTTTTCAAATTTTTATTTCAGAAATATATATAGGAATTTCACCTTACTGTTACATTTTTATCAGAGTAATTAGTCTGAAATTATAGTACAATTTTTTGGTTTGTTGGATTTGTTAATACTCTTGACAAACTTATAGTTTATATTTCATCATTTGACATTTCACAATGTTTGAATGACTTTCGAAACTTAGTTCCAAAAAGTTCCACGAGGTAATTAGCTAAACTTTTGCTGTTGTTGTCTTCGTCGATGTTTCTTCTTTCGAAAAATCCTGCCCCATTTTGCCCCTATTGCAAAGGTGAACAAAATATGCCGGAAAACAAATATTATGTTTTTTTTCATGTTTTCGCGTTATTTTGTGATTAATTGGCGTTATTTTGTAATATTACTTCGGAAATATAATTTGCTTTTCGTTTTCAATATAAAATTACGAAAATTATTATATTTTCATTGCTTTATTTAATTATTTAAGCGTACTATATATATTTTTTTTTGCTCGCCATTTTCTATTTTTTTTTGCGGGGATTTTTAGTGTATTTCAAAATTTCAACTGTGAATTCAATTTACCAGCACATAAGAACCCTTAAATGAAAACCCCCAAATTTTGAAGCAAATTTTATCGAAATACTAATTTTGGGCACGAAACCTTGGATGCTGGCCCACTGTGCAATCGACAGGACAAGGACTAGAACTGATATCAAAGAAATAATAATTATAATGACCAATATTACCAGCTGAGAACGGGAGCTTAGGTTCTCTGATAAGTGTTTAGAATAAAGAAAACTGCTTACCTATATTATTGCTTCTACGCTGAGCTGAAAGATTAAAAATGTTTTTATTTATGAGTACGTCTGAACGGAATGTAATGCCAAAAAAAAATTTTATTAAGAAAATTATGATAAATACAAGTTCTGTTTGAAGAATGTAATATTTTATATTATGAAATATACCACAGAAATGTAATTTATAACAAGGATGCCATTGGTGACTAAAATTGAATGAAGTAGTAGAAACTAATTTCATTTCTATTCAGTTATTACCTATTTAGTTATTCAATCGTAACTAGCGCTATTTCTAACGTTGCAAATCAATCATATTAAATACGATAGAATCTTATGCGTTTACTCTCAATAGTATACTGAAAAAAGTGTGTTAGAAAAACTTGCTAATCTAATCTCTTTAAAAAAATTCCCGTTTACAGAGTTCCCGCTGACCTTCTGAATGCTTAAAAGTGGTAACGAAAATTAACCCTTTGACGGTTAGGGAAATTAGCAGTTTTCGATTCATTAATTCGCGCAGTATTACGAGCAAACAGTAGTCGAAAGGGGCAGCTGTTTTCCACCGCCATGCTACCGAAAATGTCACCCTTCTCTGGCTAAATGTCAATTGCTCTGGAATTGTTATAATAAAGTGGTAGCAAATTATGTAGTAAATTTCGTTGGAGAAGGACAGCTACGCCTACTTTTTAATAGAGTAATCAGAAGACAGTTGCTTTAACGTTGTATTTCATATGATATTCATAGTTTTTGATATTTGGTGGTGAAAAAATTACTTAAAAGGAAAAATACTAATCTGAAAGTAACTTGACTTTTGCTATCACTGGGAAATACTATTTTTCAAAGCGGAGCAAGTTGGCATCTCTGGATGCGGTAAATAGCTCGCCTCACGCGTTTTAAAAATTTCTTAAAGTATTCGTAGTACATATAAATAACAGTTTTTACGTACTTTTCGTTTTTAACATAGTCAATGCAGAATAATAATGGCGAACGAGTTCAGCTCGTCAGCGCGCATTGGGGAAAAATTTCACTGCGCGAGTAGTGCTCGTTACTAACCATTACGGTCGAAATCTTGCTCCCGAACGCAACTCGTTTGCGTGCATTTTGAAGCACGATTCGATTGCGAGCTGAACTCGTTCATAACCGTCAAAGGGTTAAACATATATCGATAATTTAATTTCTACGTAACGACCACTAAAAATTGTTTTCAGAAGAAAATATATATGCATGAAATTTCCAACTTCTAAACCACTAAAAAGCAAAGTGGTTAGTTGAAATAAGAAATATCTTTTAGCATTTACCTTAATTTATTGATTTTATAATCGGGATAAAAATTAAGAAAAAAGTTTAATAATAACAGATGAGGAATCTTAATTTGAGTAAAAATTGCAGTTATAAATTACCTAAAACTCTATAACTACATCTAAGTAGTCAAAACTTTTTCACTCGTTTTCCTAAAGGTCAAAATATATACGTATACAAACGTTCAGTTTAATTTCCGACTGGTATTTCGTCTTTGAAAAGCAAAAATCAAACGAAAATAGAAATGGATGCCACTTTTTTGTATAATTTATAGTTTAACTGAATCCCACAGTTTAAAGAAAATACATGAATTATGTTAGCTAATACTTTTTCGAAAATAAAGCGAACTTTTAATATCGTATTGTTTCTAAAATAATAATTTTAAATTTACGCAGCAAATGGTTGTAAGATTTTCATAAAACATAGCTTACCTTCGCAAGATATGCTAAGAACAGCAACAACAAAAATCATAACAACGACTTTAAATAAACTATTCATTTTGCTTGTGAAGGGAGTCAGTATCTTCTCAAAATAGATATGAATAGCATTGCTTCAAAAAGGAAGCTTTTATACTACTGAAAATTTTAATGAACAAATAATACGATGACTATTTATTTAAAATTTTGAAACCATGTCGCAGATAAAATTGAAATTTTATTTACTGACGGGCAGCTGAATGCGCTATTAATATATCTTGCTTATTACAAAAATTGTTTTGACGCGCTAGGTTAAATCCATCGAAGCAGTTAAGAAACTGTACATTTTTAGCGATTTTTATTTAATATTTTGCATAGTGTAATGTATACAACTTCTTTCGTTAAAAATAGGTCTTTTATCAGCGTTCGTGCGCACCAGAAAAAAATTTAAAATTGGTAGTAATATTAATATATATTTTTTATATTATTATGTTTGTATACCTACCAGAATATTTCGCTTTCTCTTAGCAAATATAGAGTAAACCATCCAGTGAAGGAACACTTAAGCTTCGCTTGTGCTTTAAAAAAATCATATTAATTTCAAAATTCGTAATTTCAGTTAAATGACAGTGTCAATATATTTGTTACTAATCACAAATTATGTAAAAAAATGTAGAGAGCTTACATAATATTGTTTTAAAGTTTTGGAGGTTCAAGTAACAAGTAGTAAGACGACCAAGTAAAGGAACAGCTCTTACCAGTGAACGAACACCTAGTAAAGGAACACTTAATTTTGGTTATTTTTTAATGCTCTTTATGAATTTATAAGCCATACAAATATTTAAAAACAAGCCTACTCTTGAAATTATAACATATAAATACTTGGAAAATGTTAACTTTTTTTTGTAATCATGAATTGAAAATTAAAGTGTCAACATATTAACACATACTGTTCATTCACTGGGAAATCTATGCCCAGTAAAGGAACATGCCTGTTCCCTCACTGGTTAGAAGTTGTTTTTCGTATTTTTAACATACTTTTGATGCGGAACATCACTAAAGGTACAAGAAAATTAAAGTTTATCTTTTATTTTCATTAACTTAGAAAAAAAACCAGTAAAGGAACACTTGTTCCTTCACTGGTTTTTCATCGTTTGGTGATCCAGTGAATAAACACCCCCTTATCTCAGTACTTTATTATGCTATGATGCTTAAAAAAAATAAAACGTAACTTCAATAACTATATTTTGAATTCTCTTTTTCACAGTGAGAAAAATAAAACTATTACATGCAATTAATTCCACTTCAAACATATAAATACAAACACTCACCTTATAATTTTTTCAAAGAAACAAGGTGTTGCAGAGATAATAACAAATTCAAAAATTTTTCCAGAGAAGTCTATTTGACCAGGTAATCCAAAACATTGCTAGATGACTTCCTATTGTTTGGCAGTAAGCTATTGTTACCAATCAATCTAAAGAAAAACTTTCAAATTCTTATTTTTAATCAATATATATGAAATGTTCCTTCACTAGGTAGTGTTCCTTCACTGGTTGGTTTACCCTACATAGATTTAAAAGAAGCGTATATGAAATTTTATTTTAATGGGAGCTACTATTAAGCAATTTTCTGCTTCTGGGCAACAAATTTATGTCAATTAATAAAATTTTCCAGAAGCGTATAATGAGCCTTATTTATACTGATATCTCACATTACACATTTTATTCTGTCCATGGATAATTTTCCCTAGTGATAGTAATGCGACTACCAAATCAGAGATGCCAATTTGCTCCCTGCAGCGGATAAATATTTTCGAGTGGTAGCGTTTAATGTATGATTCTTAATTTAGTAAATTGAATTTATATTGTTCTTACTTCTGAATAATCCAAAGACTTATGTCTCATTGCTACTGTTATAACTGAAAGCCTCCTCACGGTTTTTTATAGGTAGTCCGATCAGACCACTATGAAGATAAACCAGTTTACGAAAGTAAAAATCTAGTAGAAGATCTAGTAAAAATAGAAAAGTGGTGGCAAATATATGTCTAAAAATTTGGTTAATTTATGAATATGATTGGTTTGTCTCATTTACTTGTCTACCACTACAGATTCATTTCTCAAATATATATGACAAATTTTTCTCAATTACGTTTAAAATAGAATGTGGGTTCATGCGCTTAACTGGTTCACTTTTTCTGTAGTCTGCGCAGACTACTTATAAAAAACCGTGTCGAGGCTTTTAAAATTTAGCAAAATCTGCTGATTTTGGTACTCAATTCTCTACCATTTTTTAAAAGATTTTGTTGAATCCGGAGCAATTGACATCTCTGATCTAAACTGGCAAATTTTTTACAGGCAGAAAAGGCATTTGGGTAAACCTTAAGGGGTCAGCTTACGGAAAAATTATAGATGCTATAAATTTTCTTCAGAATTTTAGTTTTTTTTTATATATATATTTAAAGCGGTAAAAAAATAATGACTTTCTTTTTAATTTTTGGACTTTATAATTTAATTTGATCACAATGCATAGAAAGAAATCAACGTGTATAAACATGCAAGCTATTTAATTGAGTTATTTAATCTATTTAGTTTACAAACTTCAAAAAAAGAGTAGTTTTTACCTAACGCAATATTTCCTTATATAGCGACAAAAAGATAACAGGTATGTAACACGTACAGTGTACGAGTAACCCAATTAAGTGGTTAAAAGAATAATTTGATACATCAGATTCTGCACTGTTTTGAAATTTTACGATATGCAAAAAAGGAAAAATATGAGCAAAAGTAATATAATATATGCATCTATTAAAATAAAAAAGACTCCTGCTTCATTATCACTAATATTTAGATGTGTAATATTTCGGTACATTTTTTCAGAATCATATTAATAGCTTAAAGTCACGTTTAAAAAAATGCATATTTAATTTTACAGAAGTATTAGTTGGAGCAATCTCATAAAATCGATTTGGTTTTAAAAAGGAAAAGGCGTAACATTTCATAAAGTGTGCCATTTAAGAGAGAAAAAAGAAAAAGTTTTTTGATAATTGAAAACTATAGTTCAATTTAGTCTTTTTTATGTACCATTTTAATTACTCTCAAAAATCTTAAAATTTTATGGTTTTTCAGTAATTCCAAAAATATGTAAATTAATCAAATTTTCAAAATTCGTCGAATAGAAACACATCGAAAGAAATATTACCAGTAAATTTTAAATAAGTATTTCGCCATATTTTCATTCCTTTTAGTGTTTATGCTTTTGGCAATTTTCACATTTTTTGATATTATAGTGATATATGTATTGATCTTCCAGCTGACGCTATTAAAGTTTTACACTTGAGAGATGACTCTCAGTCACCTCAGCCAACGCCTCCTGTAACTGAAAGCCTCCACATGGATTTTTATAGGTAGTCCGATCAGACCACTGTGAAGGAGATCCACTTTCCGAACGAGTCATATAATACAAAATTTAGTTAAAATAAGAAAGTGGTAGCAAATATATGACTAAAAATTTGTTTTATTTATGAATATTATTGGTTTGCCTTATTCACTTGTGAACCACTACAGATTCAATTCTCAAATATATATGATAAATTTCTCTCAATTACTTTTATGAAAGGATTTAGGTCCATGCGCACAACTGGTTCGCTTTTTAAGCGGTCTGCGCGGACTACTTATGAAAGACCGTGTGGAGGCTTTTGATGTAGGAGGTGATGCCTCAGCCAACTATCGAAAAGCTTTCTCACTGAATGTTAACATTTTCACGGGTAAGCTTTTACTAATTAAATCTTTCAGCTTGTTTTAGCTCGACTTTTCGTATTAACCCGTTTTGTCCCGAATTTATAAATTGAAATGATACAAAAAGTGGTTTTATGGAAAAAGTGGAATAATATAATATCGAAATTAATTGGTTTTTCTACTGTTAACCCCTTGAGAACGGGTGATTCAGAAAAGCAATCGTACAAAATCAGAATCAAGTTGTAATTAAATAAAAAACGATAACTTAAATGTAGTCGTTGCTGGACTTACTTTGCTTTTACTTTAATTATTGTTAGTTTATTCATATATAAAATCAATGTTAATTCAAAGTATAACTAAATAGTTTTATTTTGAACAAAGTAATAGTGAAATAAATNGAAAGCCTCCACATGGATTTTTTATAGGTAGTCCGATCAGACCACTGAGAAGGATATCCACTTTCCGAACGAGTCATATAATACAAAATTTAGTGAAAATAAGAAAGTGGTAGCAAATTTATGACTAAAAATTTGTTTTATTTATGAATATTATTGGTTTTCCTTATTCACTTGACAACCACTACAGATTCAATTCTCAAATATATATGATAAATTTCTTTCAATTACTTTTATAAAAGGTTTTGGGTTCATGCGCACAACTGGTTCACTTTATGGTCTGCGCGGCCTACTTACAAGACCTTTGGAGGCTTTTTGATGCCTCAGCCAACTATCGAAAAGCTTTCTCACTGAATGTTAACTTTTTCACGGGTAAGCTTTTACTAATTAAATCTTTCAGCTTGTTTTAGCTCGACTTTTCGTATTAACCCGTTTTGTCCCGAATTTATAAATTGAAATGATACAAAAAGTGGTTTTATGGAAAAAGTGGAATAATATGATATCGAAATTAATTGGTTTTTCTACTGTTAACCCCTTGAGGACGGGTGATTCAGAAAAGCATTCGTACAAAATCAGAATCAAGTTGTAATTAAATAAAAAACGATAACTTAAATGTAGTCGTTGCTGGACTTACTTTGCTTTTTGTTAGTTTAATCATATATATAATCAATGTTAATTCAAAGTATAACTAAATAGTTTTATTTTGAACAAAGTAATGGTGACATAAATAAATCAAACAATTATAACTCCGCCCACAAATAAACTGCTAAAGAATTACTTTGATTACCAGTTTTATCTTTTTACCCTGATTGATACGGTTCTCTGCTGGCACGTATTTGTGACAGTCGGCGCGAAAGAGTTAAGGCATTCAAAAAGTCTTTAATAGATCAAAAAGTACTTTCTTTTCTATATTTAAAATAAATTGAGTGCCTGGGCCGCGCAGCGGCCCCTAACCCATACATAATGAAATAATTTACAGTGTATTAAAACATTTTGTGTTATGCTATATTATGGTGGCATATAATCAAAAAGTACTTGTTCCTTAGAATTCTAGATCTAATCAGAAATAACTAAATCGTTGTGGTATCAGAGAATCCTTTAATTCACCCAGATAAATGAAAATACTGAAAAAAGTTTCCCACCAGAATGAATGTCTTTGAAAAAAGGAGCTGTACTAAATATATGACGCTGGGCGTTAACCGGTTAAAGTGATACAAAAAGTGCGTCAGTGAGCTTTTAAATCTGACAAAGCTCGAAACGCGTGTTAATAAAGATGGACATTGCTCAAAATGCGTTCCGATAAGAATTGACATTGCTCGAAGTTTGTGTTTAAAAAAATGGACGTAGCTCAAAAGGTGCGTTTACAAAAACAGATACATACCTGCCAACTTTTAATCCCTTCCATTATGATTTTTCCCAGTGGTATTAAAATGGAAATAAAATTTCAATTGTAAGCAAATAAATACATTGTATTTGGAAGAGCCTAAGCTGACAACCATGATAGTAACACATATTAATATATATGCTTAAATTTTCCAAGAATAGGGGTGACAAAATCATTTAAAAATTAAGTTTATAAAAGAAGAAAAATAGTATATATTTACTACCACTTAAAATATAAAAATAAAATGTTACGCCAAATGCGTAAAAGTTGGCAGGAATGCGGATATAGCTCGAAATGCGTATTTACAAAAATGGATATAGCTCAGCAAGAGCTTCGCAATGTACAACAAATTAGCTTTACCCCCAAAAGCTTAAGTTTGCATTAAATTTTACTAATTTGTTAACAGAAGCGTAAAAAATCGCCATACTCTTGTTGATGCCTATGTCATTTTAATTATTTTTGTAATCGATACTAATTGAAACAAAAACATAAGCTATGAACTAAAGGCCGATATTAATGGACCAATGGTACTAATTCACCAAGGAGAAAAGTAAAAGAAATGCTATTCTATTAAAATAAAAAATTACTTATTAACGAAAAAAACTATTAAATGGAAAAATTGTGCCAATTTGCTAAGTGTAGTAAAGTAGTGTAGTAAATGTTGACGGGTGCACGTTAAATCTGCCGGGTCACAAGTTCCTCCACGTTCCCATCGAAAATTATACCTCTGAGGGTACTGAATTGGAGATTTATCGTTCTCTGGTCCAGGTCAAAATTATGATCTGTGGATGAATGAATGGATGTATGAATGGATCCGCCTTATTACCGGATGTGATGTATGTGTGTGGCAAAAGTCAAAATATTTGCCATAGATGGTGCCACTGGAAAATAAAAACAATCTCACCCCTTTCCTTAATGGTCTGCGACAACAACAACGACAACCACGGAGGGTAAAATATAATTATAATTGAAAAAAAAAAGAATTTATATTAGCTTTATTTATTGTTTTGGTATATTTTTTTTTTGTTAAGATCACCATTTTGCAGTTTTGATCAGTACTAATTTATTGATTATTTACCTTTTGTTTTCCTCTCGAATGAAGAATGTGAATTCGGCTAGGTCTTTTATAGAAAAATATGATTCCCTATTGTACGTGACAGTTCTTATTTTTTTCATTTTAACGTAATTTGAATTAAATTTTTAATAGACTCGATTCAACACTAACACTGTAAATTCAACTCTAGAACACCAAACTTAATTTAAGATTAATTATAAAATAATGAAATTAATTTATTCGTATTATTAAATATTTTTAAAAAAATCTTAAACTCAGAAAGTCGTCTTTTAAACGTTTACCTGACGGACTCTCATTTTGAACTAACGAAAAAAATGCTTTTATTAAAAACTTGGTTGGAAGTTTGCATAAAAACTAAATGGAATTTTTTAATATTTTTCTACTAATTCCAGGGATAGCGCAACAGACAAAAAACGTTAAAAGTTGCGAAGGAAAACATCTATTTCAAAATATTAACATTAGCAACTTTTTCTAGCATATTTCCTTCAGTTTACTATTGAAGGTAACTGCAAATAATTTTTTCGCTTTAAATATAACAACGTGGTAGTTTCGATTGAATACGTAAATACAGGAAAAAATAATTAAATTTTAATAATACTTCTTACATTTTTAATAACATGTGACATCACTGTAATTCTGTTAAAGAAATCGAAACGATTGTTTGATTTCAAAAAATATATACTGCAAGATCTATAAAATTATATGACTGACAGATTTTGGTTGAGAGTAATATTCAGTTTTTCCAATTGTTAATGCGAAGAATGAAACATTTGAGCTAGTAATCTTCAACTTATTGAAAATAAACGTTTCAAAAATAGAACATTAACATCTTTGAGGTTAATGGTTAATACCTCTACATTTGTCTTGATATATAAAGTCGGGTAACCAAGGAAAGAAGGCTGATTATTTAGGGTACGAAGCTGATAAACATTACTACCCTACGTTCTAGAATTTTAGTTTATGCAAGGATATTGCATACCTGACAACTTTTACGCATTTGGCATAAAATTTCATTTTCATATTTAAAGTGGTAGTAAATATGTGCTATTTTTTCTTCTATAAACTTAATTTTTAAATGATTTTGATCACCACTATTCTTAAAAAAATTAAGCACAAATATTAATGTATGTTTTGATCATGGTTGTCAGTTTAAGTTTTTTCAAATACAACGTATTTTTTTGCTTAAAATTGAAATTTTAATTCCGTTTTAATACCACTGGGAAAAATGATAATGAAAAGGATTAAAAGTTGGATTAAATATAT